AGGGTTAGCAAATGAAACCTTAATCGATAGAAATAAGACACCCTGTGTAGATAAAAGTAGCCTTATCGGCAGTAATTTAGAAGATGGTGGAATTAAACGAAGAAGAAGACGAAGGAGAAGAGAGAGATCGCGTTTAATTGAGAGGAAACGGTGCTCAAGTTTTAACGGAGAATTAGATTGTTTGCCGTGGTAATTGTTGCTTGAATTATTTATGGACTTGGTGTATTCCTTCGATGCTGCAGGGATGTCGAACTATAGATAACCTTGTTAACGTGCCAACTTAGAAACTTGCACCACAGAGTATACTATAGCCTAATTTCCACAAAACATAAAAGCAAGCCTTCTAAAAAAATCCAACAAATTTCCACTTGCGATATTTCAAAAGTGTAACAACCATCAACGATTTCCATTCCGCGAGAGGAAGTGAGAGGGATAGAAGCTTCTAGAAGAAACTAGCTCGCGGTAGAGTCGCGGTTTTACGCGGGAGTAAGAACATTTGTCGATTAAAGAGCATTACGAAAATGGTAAAAAATTCAAAGTTAAAAGTGTCGTTGATTTATCGCCACTCGAGTGGTTTTTTTCGTCTTGCTCTCGAACGGGACAAAACACACGAGTGGCGAAGTGGTTCTCCTAAATTCGAAGAAACGATTCTATCCTGTCTGGCCGTGGCTCGTGCTGTCACGTGCCGCACACTCGAACGTTGAAAAATGTGGCCGCGTTCTCTTACAACACGCCGATTCGCCGACAGAGAAAGAAAAGGAGGAAAGTTTGACATTTGGCTGACACGTGTTTCACACGTTCCAACGGCTTCCGGTAGTCTAGCCTCCGCACAATTCCGCCATTTTCCTCCGCAGCGTACCTTCCATTGTGCACGACTTGGACCGTTTGTCCGAAGAAAATTAGCGAAGACTGATTCGCAGAATTGTCAAATTTCTATCATTTTTCTCAAAGTTCTCCTCGATCTGAAATTGTCGCAATTTTTTGGAATACTACAAAAATAAATAAAAATAATTAGAAAATTGAGGTCTGACAGGTCATTTGAAATTCTGTCCAAAATGACATTATCACAAGCAAACGGCAATGCTAGAGAAACGTCGGAATTCGATAACCATTGGACTCTAATCTGGGATAAGAATTCAAGCAATCCAGGTCGCGAGATCCCGAAAAGTCTCGTTAGAGCTAGAATCGTTCTAATTCCAAGGCACACGAGTATTCTAACCTCTTCGTCAAAGTGGCAAGCACTTCGAAATCCCTGTTTCCCCCTCGAAACATTCGTGGATCCCGTCCAAGGTTCTCCTCGACCGGGACAAATATTTACCCGTACTCCGTCTAATTCGCGGCTAGAACGGAAGGTACAGACACGAAGAAGCGTAGAAGGCGACGTTTGTTCGCGGATAATCCTCCTGTAAGCGATCAGAAATTCAAATCTGCCTGTTGTTGGATCATGGGAGAGGAAGATTGGAGAGAAAGAAGAGGTGGAGGGTAACCGAAACGTGACAGAATGCGTGAAGCTCGTTATGCATTCGTCTCGTTTCCGCCGAAGACGCCACTGATTATCGGTACCCACTGCTTACAGCTGTTGAGGCTATTGTCTCGTCGAAGGCGCTTTCGAACCTAGGGAAAAAGCTCGAAGAAAGCTCCCTTCGGCCTTCCGTCGACCTCGAGGCACGCTTTGTTTTTCCATCCCCGGGGAGTTCCCTCTTGTTTTACTACTACGGAGGATCGGGAACAGGCTGAACGAGGATCCTCGCGAAAATTCTTTTCTTCTTTTCAGAAAGAATTTTTCTTCCCTTTTAGCAATTTACAAATTCGTGATATTCCAGCGAGAATTTGCTGGAGGATCGTTTTGTGTATGTTCGACAGCGATCTACGAGGAAATTGTGTATACCGGGTGTCCTAGTTGGTTTTCATCAAACTTTCTCAGTATGTTCTATGGGTGTAAGTGAGGAAAAAATGTTATGTGAACATGGGTTGTTTGGAGCTTTGTTAAAAAGTTACAGCTGAAATACGAGATATTTCGAAGTTTCGAAAGAAATTGAGACACTCTGTATATCTGCTGACTTTCTCAATGATCGTTTCACCGATGAATCTTTATTCGAAGAAGATAACGACGAAATAAATTAATTAGCTGAGATTTACCGACGGTGTCTTCAAATTCACGACTATTTTTTTGTAATTTTTTCATTAAATGGCGGATAAATAGGTCGTTTGACGTTTTATTAAAAAGTTACAACTAAAATGCGAAATATTTCGAAGTTTCGAAAGAAATTGAGACACTCTGTATATCTGCTGACTTTCTGAATGAGATCATTTCACCGATGAACATTCTGAAATTTACGCACATTTTTTATAACCTTCCCGTCATACGACGAACAAACGCCGGTTCTTCTCGAATTTTCCAAATCCCACAAAAATTTTCCTCCGCAACGAGGCCGAAAATTTTCCGCCGCGGTCCCTCGAAAACGCGAATATTGGAAAATTCGAGCGTTTAAACATTCGTAACTTGAAACGCGCAATTACAACGTTTAATACTCGCCGGCGAATGAAATTTCCAGCAAACAACGAACACGTACGTTAATTACCAATTCACCCTTTACACCTACTCGCGGCGTGCAGCATTCGCATCCACGCGCTATGTAACAGCGCCAACAACGATTTACAGTGTAAAAACCGTGACAACGGTGCAAATGGACCGTAGAACGCGATGTCACGTATGCTGGAAAACGTATAATAGATTTATCCCTTTGAAATATTGACACGCAATTAAGACAGCTAGACGGAATACAATGGGCGTGTTCTCGTGAAAGAAAAGAGTCGATTTCTCTCGCTCGGAATACGGAAAATTAATTTCGACTCAGCCTGAGGAGGGTGAGAAAGAGAGAGAGAGAGAGAGTGTGTAACGTGGATGCAAAAGGGTGAATATTCTCGTGGAGCAGCGAGAGTGGATACTGTGTGGATGGTAGCTGGAGGATGAAAAATATGTCGACGGATGAAAGAGCCTCTCGACAGCACGCAACCCGTTTTACGCGAAAGTATGCCACGATGCTCGTCGAGCTGCAATGGGCCCCTGCTACACGTTCTACACGGATATTAGAGGATAGACGTAAAAATCTTTCTGCTCGATTATTATGTACCTGCCGAATACTGTAGTTTGCTTTTCGAATACATCATTTTGAAAAATTTTTCCTTGGACTGCTGTAAATTTTTTTCAAAGCAACAATCTTTCTGCTCGATTACTATGTTTTTGCCGAATACCGCAGTTTTCCTTTCAGAATTTTTTACTCTCAAGTACTATCAATTTTTTTCAAAATAATAAGTAAAAATCTTTCTGCTTGTTTATTATTAATACACCTGGTGGATACTGCAGTTCTCCTTTGGAATAAATCATTTTGAGGAAGTTGAAAATAAACATTTTCTTGGAAGCAATAAAAAAAATCTTTCTGCTCGATTATTATGTTCTTGATGAATACTGTAGTTTTCTCTCGGAATAAATGATTTTGAGAATTTTTTACTTTGGATTGCTGTGAATGTTTCCGGAAGTAATAATTCCTTTTTGGGAAAAATGGCTCCACGAGATTGCCGTCCAAGTGTTGTAATTTTTCGAGAATGATAATTCAGTGAATTTGAAGCTTTTGGAAGATTCGTAGTACGCAGCGTAGTATAATTACGTTATGCTTCTACTGTGCTTCATTAGAGAATATAGTACGAAGGCGGTTCTGTATGCACCGGACCCTAATTATCATAATTAAACGTGTTCAGCAGTCGGGTCTAACTTGACCCAATTGCGTCCCCCGTTTCTTCGAACAGTTTTGAAATTTTTAGGAAAATGAATATTCAATACACGATGTCGGGATTCCTTGACTTCGTTCAACGTTCAAAACTTTCTCGAAAAAGCGTGAAAATGTAATTGGGTTAAAAGGAATCCAACGACATGAAAATTGCCTACTATCGTTATTTCCTAAAACTTCCAAAACTACGCGAAAGGTGCGAACAATTTACGAACAGCTGAGATTACTGAAATAATGAAAATTCACGGAGCTCGGTGAATTTTAAAAAGTGTCTCAAGAACCATCTGAAATTTCCAAGAGTTTCGAAGCCTGCATACGAAAACTTGTATTTACATTCGACGAGGCGGGAATATTTTTATGCGGAACCCCAGCGAGCGAATTTTATTTCGCTGAAAAAAAAAAAAGAAAGGTAGAGGAAGGCCGATTCTTTTCTTTTTTTTCTCGAACCTACGCGAAATTCGACCATACCTTCCACCCGTTTTCGCCGTTTTATTATACGCGTATTTCCGCTACGATTCCCGCGCGAAATCCGCGTTTAAACTTTGCAGGTGAGAGCTTTCGCTGTGAAATCTTGGATATCCGGGCGAAAAGTAAACTTCCATGCCGTGTATTTCGAGGAATTTCCAATTTGCCACTCTTTTTTCCCCTCCGTTGCACGTTCGTCCAAACATTAATTGCAGAAATATAAACACGAATATTCGAACTTCCTTGCGAACCTACATACAATCCCAAGAAAAATATACCGTTTTTTTTTCTCCTATACACTAAATCTGCGATTTACCAGATCTATTTGATCAATTTCAACTTTAATCCAGAGAAAATGTATTTTTCAGAGAGTTTCCGTATCAAAGCCTCTCCGCGCTTTCATTTCCAAAAAAGTCCGTCTGTTTGTATTTAGACGGATTCTCTCAGATAGATTCGCTCCGTCTCCGTTTATCACTCGCTCGATCCTCGTCACGATGACCGACAGGGTCGACTTAGCCCGATAAGCGGCTCACACGTGACCGTGTTCGAGATCTGGATCACTCGGTCGGTAACGTCGCGCGACTCCGCTCGAGGTCACGTAGCCGCAAGTGAAAGCCACAAGTCTCCGGAATCTCCGGCAATCGAGACGCAGTATGCGTCCAAGTCGATTCCAGTCGTGAGTGTTTCACGTGTGTTACACCGCAATCCTGTACCTCCTGGATCGTTCGCTCGATCCGTCGCCTCGTGCAAAACTCACAAGGTAAAAAAGGAGAATCAAGAGGAAACGGATCGTTTCGATCTTCCGTTGCGTGACAGATTTCTTGAAACGCGGTGATTAACTTCTCCAGTGTGTTTGTGCGTGTGGAAAAGGAAGGAAACAGCGTTGGAAAATCGTCAGATAGTAAAAGTGAGTTTACGTTCCAGCGCGTATATTTATTCGTTAATGGTTCGAATCGGTCGTATTTGGTATCGATACGCGGAATATGACGTAACGGATCGTGACGTGGAATTATCGAATTTCACTCGGGGAATATTAATTGAGCGTGATATTGTTCACGTTGCTCGTTTAAGTGGGAGAGCACTGTTGCGCACGGCAGGATTAATTAATTAGATTGCTCGGTGACGGACGAACAGGTACATATGCGAAACGGAGACAAGGATTTCGCGTTGTCCAAAGACGTGCGCGGTAGTGTGAATGATAGGTTGGAGAACTGCCGCGGGGCATGTTTCTTCCAAGTTTCCCGCTGTTGTACGTTTACGTCGTATTCTCCGACGTTTCCGCCCTACCAGTGATACGCGATTTCACGATCTACGATAAAACTCGTTTAAAAATAAGGGACTTTCTCAAATTTAACATTCTCTCGCTAATCGTTCACACGAATTTGAGAGAAATATAAATTAAAAAAAAATTCATCGTATTGTGCATGAAAAAATAAGGAAACTCCGTCCTCTTCCATTCGCCTCTCAAATCTACCATTTGCGAGGAAAAAGCTAGAAACAAATCGAGCGAAAACCCCGCATATTTTTCCCGAAGCGTGTTACCAACTTTCCCCGTAAAGAAACGTAATTTAAATCTTCCGATACTTTCCGTGCCTTCCAAAACGGCTGTGCAAACGGTTGCGGTCAGGTGTGGTAGCCTCGGCCGGTAAACGAGAAATCGCGCAGTTACACGTAACAACAGCTCTCTGTACGCGTTCTACAATTGCTCTCCGTGTTGCAGGGAGGACCCGGTTCAGAGTGCGCAGGAGCTTCCTAGAAGGGAGGGGGTAGACTGACGATCGACGGAATCGCGAGCGAGGGGAATAGTGTCGGCGCGTGTGGCGCGCAGGCGCGAGGGATTCCCCGGGAATCGGGTCTTTCCGGGTCTCCGACACGGTTCTCCCTCGTTCGGCTCACTCGAGCGGGCGACGCGCGACACGGCAACAGGTGACGACCGGAAGCCGACTGGAGCACCCTCGAAACGACCAGAACCACCGAGTACAGGCGTCGCGGCGCCGATCCACGCGTCGATCAACCGCGTAGAAGAAGATTCTTCTATCTCTCTGTTTCTGTCGGTGAAACGAGCATTCTTTCGAGGATAAATTTTCGTCGGAGAAGGATCGAGGAAGAGGCCGAGGTTGAATAGAGGTGACGGAAGAATCGAGGAGGGAAAATGAGCGTCGAGGACGCCATCAACTATAAGCCCAGCGAGGAGGAGGATTACTATGCTCTCCTCTCGTGCGACGAGTCGTCCACGGTAAGCGAAGTTTTGTGGCTTTTTAGATGTGGCTGGGTTCCAAGGGTTTCTTTTGTGGTTCCTTGAGTTGCTTGTGGTGGTTCGAGTTGGAGTTCTTTTTATTGAGGGATTTTCGAAGGTTCTTTTTGTTGCTCGTGGTTCTGTTTTGGACAGGCTTGAAAATGTGGTTTGTCGTTGATGTTTTATCTGTTTCAAGTTTCTTTCAGCTTTTTGGGTGGTTTTACTATGGGCAGGAATGAAGCTGTGTCCTGTAGATGAAGTTTCTTTGGGCTTTTTCGGTGGTTTTACTTTGGATACGATTGAAGCTGTATTTTGTGGTTGAGTTTCTTTGGGCTTTACTTTGGATACGATTGAAGCTGTATTTTGTGGTTGAGTTTCTTTGGGCTTTATTTTGGATACGATTGAAACTGTACTTTGCGGTTGAAGTTTCTTTGGGTTTTTTCGATGGTTTTACTTTGGGCAGGATGGAAGCTGTGTCCTGTAGATGAAGTTTATTTGGGCTTTTTGAGTGGTTTTATTTTGGAGAGGATTGAAACTGTGGTTCGTGGTTGAAGTTTCTTTGAGCTTCCTGGAGGGTTTCATTTTGGATACGACTGAAACTGTGGTCTGTGGTTCAAGTTCTACGTGTTTGAAGTTTCTTCGGGTTTTTTTCGGTTTGCAGGATTCAATCACAGGATCGAATCTGTGGTCTCTGGTTGAAGTTCCTTTGGGTTTTTCGGGTGGTTTAATATGGGCAAGATTGAAACTGTGGCTTGTGGTCGAAGTTCTATGCATTTGAAGATTCTTTGATCTTTTCAAGCGGGTTCTTTTACTTGCCGGTGGTTTTAGTCTAGTCAGAGCTGACCACAGGTTTGTGGTCGAAGATTCTTTGTGGTTCCTTTAGCTTTTCGATTCCTCCATTGTGTATTAAATTACACATTCAATTTTAACGTACACCAAATCTGATTACACTATTTTCCCACCAAAACGTCGATCCCGAAGTATCTCGATACACCAAAACGGTTCAATTCAAAAAATCTAGCTGTTCAGTCGCACAATTCCAATTTTCTGCTCCGCGAAATTCCTCTCAATCACTTTCACGTTTCAAACATTCCTCTGTTGTTTCAAGTATCAATCCAATTGAAACAAATTGAACAAAGTATCGCGATAAAGTGAAAACTTTCATGACAACAACAATGAAATTCAAAGAACGCACAGAGAGAGATAAATTTTTGACGATTAATTACTTCCTCGGATTCCCGCGCGCTTAATGAGACGCGTATCTGTGTAAAATTACTTTCGGAGAAGTTACATCGAGTTAATTAGTCGCAGTGTCTGTGGAGGCACTGTCACAGGAGGATAATTGCATCAGCGTCAGGCACAACTTTAATTAGCGCTTTGCCCGAACTTCTCGATTAGTATCGATCGTTCTGGCGGCGCGATTGCCAGTTCATTTGGCAAAAATACCCCGGCCGGCTCGATGGGAATCGACAATGCGATTACCGTTGAATCTATTCGCGACTGATAACTCCGCTTCCTCGGGAAAATCACCGCGGGGACGGATGATCGTTCGCGTGAAAACGAAAGTCCTCCGATCGGCGTATTTTAATTATCATCGTCGACTGCAGTCGCTCTACGAAAACTTGGAATCTCGTGGATACGATGTTTGTAATAATAATTGCCGTGAAATTTCCTCGATGACGCGCAAGTGGAAGAAGTTGTTAGAACGGAATGGGAAAACGAGGAACATTAGAGGAGACTTTAAATGGCAGAAAATTGAGAATGTCAGCGATGACAATAATTCCCTCATGGTACTCTATTCGTGAGAATGTGTTTTCATATCGAATGAAAAGGAGAGGGAAATTGGTAGTCGAAGTGCAAAATGAACATTGTTGATAGAGGAAAGTTTGCAGAAAATTGGTCGAAATTGTTGGAGAAGGGCAGAAAAATCGAAGGACAGGTTCGACGATGATCTTTTCGGAAGATCGGTTAATCGCGAAGACTTTCTCGAGTGGAATTTTCACAGAAGTCGACCAAGTAGACAGCCTGTTTCCACGTAACGAAGCCGCAAAGAGACGATATCAGCCTTTCATCGACGTGTCACGGTGAGTCGCGTAAAAGTCATCGCTGACCCTTCCCAAGGAATTATGTCAGCGTAGTTTTCTCCTCGTTTTCTCGCGATCCTATCCCGCTAAAAATAAACGGCGCCACTTTAAATATAAACGAAGGGGGTTAATGAGTGATCGTGTCCGCCTGTTTGCCGACGGGGCGACGATCCATTAAGAAACTCCACCTCTATTAGGTGAATTCGTTAAATTGCCTGGCAAATATCAGTTGTCTCCATTAGCCGACGATAAAAACGAAAGGGCGAACTCGTTGGATCGTGATAGCGACAGATAAAACTCGCGTAACCTCTGCTTCACAATTTTAATTTTTTCTTTCTTAGCGATTCTTATTTTCTCCTTTTCTATTCACTTTTTCGCGTTTTGGGTTGTGATAGCAACAGACGACATTTGTGTAACTTGTGCTTGACAATTTTACCTCTTTTTCTGTCATTTTCAGTGTCCCTTTTTCACTCAATATTTTATTACTTTTACTAGCCAAGTAATAAAGTTCGAACCTTAAAATGCAATCTTAATTTTTAAGTTACACTGAGAAATTATTGGTGAGCTCTTTGGATTACGACAACGACAAAATAAACTTGTGTAACTTGTGCTTGATAATTTTACGTCCTTTTTTGGTGATTTGTAGAGTCCCTTTTTCACTCAATTTTTTCATTATTTTAGTACCCGTGTTTTGGACAATAGTTTTTACCAGCCAAATAACAATTTTAATTTTTAAGTTACACCGAGAAACTCTTCAAATTATGATAGCAATAGATAAAATTTGTGTTACTTGTGCTTCATAATTTTACGTGACTTTTTGCAATTTTTAGTGTCCCTTTTCCCAGTCAACTGTTTTACTATTTTAACACCTGTGTTGGACAACAGTTACGTTGAGAAATTATTGACGAGCTCCTTACGTTACGATAGCAATAGATAAAATTTGTGTAAATAATTTTACCTCCTTTCCTGTGATTTTTAGTGTCCCATTTTAAGTCAAAATTTTGATCATTTCAATACCCGCGTTGGACAATAGTTTTCACCAGCCAAATAACAAAGTTCGAGCCTCAAGGTGCAATATTAATATTCAAGCCACGTTAAGAAGCTGTTAAAAATTGTAGGAAAAGCGTTGCTTAAAATTGCTCGTAAAGCGTGCAAGTTAATAATTCTCGAGAAAGAGGGTAAAGTTTAAAGGGTGTGTAATAAACGATCCCCCAATGGTGGCTCCTCCTTTAAAGTAATTCCGTACACCGCGTACGCTCTATAAAGGTCAACCCCACCGCCTCGTAACCTCCAGCTGTTTCGGACTTCTTTCCCTCTGAAAGATCCACGTTTCCAGGTGGAACAAATCACGGCGGAGTACAAGGTGCTCGCTCTTCAGTTTCATCCGGACAAGCACGGAGGGGACAAGGAGGCAGAGCGGAAGTTCCAACAACTCAAGGTTCGTTATACACGATCAATTTATCCATTTCGAATTGATTCGATCGAACGAAAATTATTCCTATGTAAACTCCGTGCATAATTCCCGTTCGAAACTTGTAATTACACAATTTCGCGCGTAATTACCTTGTTGTGATAAAATAGACGGATTTTAATTCGTCCAATCAGCCATTGTGTATCTTTCGAAATAATTAAATCTGTCGGGAGAATTGTCCATAATACTGTATACTTTTTTGAAACCATTTGATCTACGGAAAGAATTGATTTAACGAAAAAGTCGTCGTATTAAAACCTTGAGTCCATTATGTATTGCAAATTATGCAAAAATTGTGAGAAAAAGTTAGAAATTTACTAAACTTGGCAATTTTTGAAAAAGTTGCTATCGATACCTGCAATGTTGATTCACTGTCGATCTAAATTCATAAACAGACACTCGTATTTCCACAGATTACCGGAGGAAATATGTAAAAAAAGGGGATCGATCGCAAAGAACAGAATTTCCAAGCTCGTTAATTCCCTCGTTAAATGACTCGTCGGGAAATCCTAGCTCGATAGCTCTTTTTGCGTCGATTCACAACGCTCTGTTGTTGCAGGGAAACGTGGTATATACAGGAGTATACGCGAACGTAACGCAATTTCTTTTTATCGCAGCACGCGAAAGAGGTTCTCTGCGACCCTGAACGAAGGAGCAACTACGACAAATGGAGGCGTAGCGGGATCGCCATCAGCTACAAGCAATGGCTCGGAATGAAGGAACACGTACACCAGGTGAGAGAATTCGACGAGAATGTCTGAGATAAAATCTGTCTGTCCCTTGGTGGACAGTGCGTGGAAAATCGTGCAAGAAATTCCTTGTTCCGTCCAGATTCTCCTCGTGGTACCGCGAAATTGCGAAATTCTTCGGCGTTCCTTTCGTAGACGAGGAAATCGTCTGTTCATGATTCTTCGGATTCTGGTACAAGAGGTCTTTGAAGGAGAATCTCGAGACATTCGATTGTCACTTCTCTCGTCGTAACCTTTTCAACGCCGTTGATGGCAGGCGACAGTTTTTCAAGATGGAATTTTTATCGAAGAGAAAAGTCACTTTTCGACTCGGTGCTTCTGCGGAATATGTATAATAGAACGGAGGATCGGAGTGTTGAACGTAGTTTTCTATTGACGAATATTTTAGTGTGATTTTTTAACTTTGTTTCAACGCTTTGGAGAAATCTTTTATTCCTCAGTGACAATCTTAACTCTTTCGTGATCAGTGGGATGTACGTGTCTCACTTGAGTAATTGAATCAAAATTGAAATTAACTTATATGATCTCTGGATAAATGACAAATTTTTCTAAAACAATTCCATCACGAGAGGCTTAAATTGCAATTTTCTAACCATTCTCTTCGTTCAAAATTACCACAAGGAATCTCTCGCACGAGACTACTCTTTTAACAATTCTCAAACACACTCACAAAATCCCGCTGAAACCTAACACTCCCCCGAACACACCTCCAAAAAAAAAAAAATAACAATGAAACCAATAAGAAAAACTGCTTATCTCTCGCACCAATTCTCAAACAAACTCACAAAATTCCACTGCAAACCTAACACACCCCCAAGAAAAAATAACAAAAAGCAGCAAAAAAAAATGGTTAAAAACTGGAAAAAATCGAATGATCGTCACAGTCGATGCACTGGAGCACACCGAAGACGAAGGATCGCATGCTGCCGGACGTAGGAGGCGAGGCTGCAGGTTCTCCAGGTCACACCGCGAAGGTGCAACCGGCGAACCCTCACAGAAGAGCCTCGGAGGGTGGCGCGAACATCTATTACGGCGCTCGCCGTGATTTAGGCTGGGATTCCGAGGCACCGAGCGAGGTGGTCAACAAGTTCCGCAATTACGAGATCTAAACACGCAGCTTCAACCGCGCCATTATGGATCGTCGTCGTCTGGACCAACGGTCGCTCTTGTGTGTGTGTCCAACCCTTTTTTCGAGTATATCTGAACGGGGCGAAGCCGACGAACCAGCGTTAACCACGTATTCGTTACGATAACACCGTCTCAACGTAAATTTACCGTTCACCATTGTCCAACCGAGAGAGAGAAGGATATTCGAGGTATTGGACGGAGCTTCCGAGGTTTTGGTGATTAAGAGCAACTGCTCGTGGCTTTGGAAGTCGTTCTTCTGGGCTTTCGATTATTTCTTCGCCGAAGAATTAATTTCAATTTTTTCCTTTGGAATCAACCAAGAGAAAATGTTTCTTCTGCTTCCGAGGAGGAATTTGGTGATTAAGAGCATACGGGAATAAATTGTCGGATGTCATGGCTCTGGAAATTCTAATTTTTCGATTACTTCTTCGAAGAGGAAGATATCACTTGGCTGAAGAATTAAATTTTGTGTTTTTCTTGGGAATTAAGGAAGAGAATATGATATTTCTTCTGCTTCTGAGGAGGAATCCGGAAATAAATTCTTCTTTGAAGAATTAAGTTCCATTTTCCTCTTTGAAACTAACGAAGAGAAAATATTTCTTCTACTTCTGAGGAGTTTGGTGACTAACAGCATCAAATTTTACAAGTTCCAATTTCTTTGCTATTTCTTCGAAGAAGAAAATATTTACCTGGAGAAGCCGGAAGATCTGAACCTTAAGTTCCGTTCTTCCTCCGAAATTAACGTGAAAATCATTCCACAGCCTCGAGGAAACAACCTCAAAGTTCCATTTGCCTCTTTCAACCAACTTTCACCGTAAAAATAATTCGCGAACCTCTGAAGAAAAGGAATTCGACGATCCTCACCGCAACTTCGTATTTGCCCAGGAGGGAAAATGTCAGGTAATGTTGCTCTCGAGGCGAATTCTCGTAATACCATTGAAGAATTACTCTACTGAATAGAAGACACGCATAATGCCTTCCATGCGAAATTCAACGAAATACCCCGACAAAGAAGCGAAAGAGCAGAATAGGAAAGGGGGAAACGACAAAGGTTGTACGATTCATTTGTCGATCCTGATCTCGAAAACCGGAGAGAACTCGTTTAAACTTCGGGACGAGAAATTCTCCAGCTTCTCGAGAACACCCGAGAGTTCGAAACAATCGTCGCAGAGCTGTTCGAATTTCCAATTTTTTCGTTCCGTTCAAACAGCGTGGCAACAAGCGGGAAAGTTCGAAGAGGAATAGTTTCGAGGGGAGACATTTGTCTGATCGGTTGGACGGTGCTTTTTAATGTCGTATCGAGAGAAGAGAAGCTCTAACTCCACGATTCCACCAAGGGATTCGAACGTAAGGGAATAAATAGTTGTTTCTACTATAATGTTACTCGCGATAGAGTTTACTTAAGTGGTACGTTTCCTTCTTTTCCCGCGAAACGTCAATTTCTCATTTTACCAAACAGAGCTTCCATTCCATTTCCACAATTTCACCAACTATCTCGATTCTAATTTAATCAGATTCGACTATCAACCACCCCTAACGAAAATTTCCAAAAGCAACGCTTCGCCACTTAAGTACCTCTTCCATTGTCGAGTAGCTAGAGGGAAGAAAAAGTAACTCGTTGTTTCTACATTGAGTATTCTTCGGTGGAGTACTCGAGCAGTTTAATCGAACGTCGAGGCACGCGCTGACACTCGAAAGTTTAATCTCGTCGCTTGAAATTCGGTAAAATTGAAAGTAACCATAGGAGAAAGAGTGAATTAGGCGAGAACGAGAAAATTCACTCCGTCGAATTCGACGAAGCAAACAGAGATTTCATCGAATCGAACGAATTAGGATTGAACTGCATCGTGCGATTGAACTTACGAGCGACAGTGTACGGTATATTGACAGAAAAAAGGAAAATGAAATTTGATCAACTTCTCGAATAAACTGCACGAGTATATGCACGTTCCACCGTCGAAGCAAATCGATGACGGCGCACTTGTACCTGTGTCAAACGCAAAGTATATATCGTTTTTTCTCGACCACACGCACTCTTGAATGTTCGAAACGCTAGCCCCTCTCACCGAACCTCAGATTTTGCATCGTCCCTACCTTTTCCCCGTACACTTCGATCAACCCTTTCGACGGACAAGACAGTTATTTTTTAAAACAGACACTTCCGAAAGGAGGAACCGATTCTCTACGAATCTCGTCGTCGTTAACTCTCTACGTTCAATTTTCTTCCATTTCTCGATCGTTTGTTCAACGTCGAATGTAAATTTTGAAATATCAATGGAACAATACGGGGAAAAATCTATCGGCAAATATTTCCCTTCGTTTCCGATTTAATCCGCGCCGACCGAGACTGAAAGAGCGGGAACAACTGTAGAGGATGAACTTTTGCGACGAACAATCCGAATATTAAGCCGGAAGCTCGACCGGAACGCAAGCTTCGATTCGTCAATTTTTTTCTACTTCGAAAAAGGAGAGAGAAAGTAAACACGCCGGAAAAATCGGGGATTTTCTTCGCCTTTCGAAACGTTTCAATTAACCAGAATTGTCGCCTACTTTATCGTCCAATTTTAGTAGTTTTCCGATAACGAAATTCTATACTCGAGGCAAACAGGGATAGGAAATGTGCCGAACAACGATCTGGCTGGATATTTCGATCTTTCACCAGGAAGATGAAATATTTCAAGCGAGAATTGTGCAAAAGGGTCCCCGGTTAGTGACTCAAGGGCCGAACGGTGTAACAGTGTCTGTTACAAATTTTCAACGAAGGGGTTGATCGTGTATTCTCAGCTTGTTTCTGAATCTCCTCTCACGACAGCGAGTTACATCGTCGTTTTTAATTTCACCCGGTAACCGAATAATTTTCTTCGTAATTTCACATGTGTGTAACAATCCTATTCGTTTCGTTCACCATTCGGTATGAATATCGATATAGTTAGTCGACGAGGAATTTTTCTAATGCACCGAACGTCCTTGCGTTCCGCGTAATTAAGACACGTAGCCGTTAGCAGCTAATGACTGGTGGTCGAAAATAGCCAGCAGTCGACTCGTGTGTATCGATGTGACCTTTCGATATTAGTTGTATAAGGCTCCGAGTTGTACGGCTTAATAAGGAAAAAGGGGAAAAAAAAAAATAACGACGCTATATACAACCCCTCCCGAATGTTACGTTTCGCCCGAAAAGAAAAGAGGAGAAAATGGAGGGAAAGAAAGGCGAATAACGAACGAGATGTGTATCGCTGTACACTTTCTTCCACGTTCGTCGACCGTTATCGATAAGAATCGTTCGTGTGATCGATCGAGGGACGATTAAATCGCAGGATACGATCGGAGAATCTCGATTAGGCGAGACCGAGGGAAAACGAGGAACCAAGTTAGAGAATACGATGTAATACGATGCATATCGGCAGCAATGCTGCGAGATATATCTCGCGTGATAGGGACCGGAAGTGGCGTGTACCATTGTCGAGGGTGCTTGAGTCGAACGCGACATCGCGTACTATCGATTAGAGTCGGGGAGAGAAAGAAAGAAAGAAAACGAAGGAATGTACGATCGACGATCTCTCTATTTTACGAATGAAACGAGAAAGGAATCGATGGTGTGCGTGCACGTGTCGACGTTGAAGATCAAAATCGATCGTGTTATCGATCTCTTCCTTCAATATAATATACACACACACACACACGTACATATTATTATCGATAAGGATAGGAGATAGTGATCTCGAAATCGCGAAGGGAACCAAATCTGTAGAAATAGGAAAGTAAAAAAAAAAAAAAAGAAAAAAAGTGTGTAATGGAGGTCGAGAACGAGAGGTCGATTATCGGAGATCTCATCACACTACCCGTGCAACTGTCTTCAGCGATTAAAAAACTACTAAAAGAGAGTGAGAGATAGAGAGAGAATATCGCGAAGCGGAAAGAAAGGAGCAATTTTTTTTCTCTCGAAAGCATCCTGCTCTGTACGTGCGTGTTTGTTCCCACATCTATATATTTTTCTAGACGCGTCTCCGCGATGATTCCGCCTCGCGTGGAACACTGTACCTTCTACCTATTTATTATTTCCGCGCGATCGACCTATCGACGATATCGTGCATCCGGCCGAGGGAGGAAAACGTGTCGTGAGCTGAAAGAACAGAAAAAAAGAAAAAAAAAAAAGAAAATTGAAAACAAGCGTCGTCGTGGACTCTCGCTTGACACGGGTCTTTTTTCTCTCGCAAGCTCATAGTCGCCCGGCAGTTTTACGGAGTGTGCTCGATGGATGAGAAAAAAAGAAAAAGTTGCTCGTGTATTTTTAGTTTCGTGAGCGAAAAATTCAGCGGACAATTTTCTCCCGCTGTTTTTTTATTTTTAA